TTGTATCTCAGCCAAATATTGTCCTATCCTAACAAACCATACATCAATGGAAAGCTTATTTATTCAGCTGATTTATTCAGATGATGCATAAATATCAATTTAAAAAAATTGACCCTTATGACTGGTTTTGTGCTCCAGGGTCAAATTTATTCATCTGGGCTTGTCTAGTAAGCTCAGATCTACAGCGGTTCAGGGTCTCTCCATTGAAGGGCATCAGTGAGTGCTACATTAGGACAGAAGATCTTCTTATCCATGCCATACTCCTTTTTCTACTCTTCCACCCAAAATGATATCCTCCAAAAGTTTGTAATAAATACGCTTTTTTTGGTTGTTTCTGAAAGAGGTCTCTTCTGCTCAGCAAGGCTGCATTTATTTGATTAAAATACAGTACAAATTGTGAAATATTATTATAATGTAAATCAGCTGATTTCTATGTGAATCTCTGTTAAACTGTAATTTATTCCTGTTATGGAAAACTGAATTTTCAGCATCATTACTCCAGTCTTCAGTGTCACATGATCTTCAGAAATCAGTATAATATACTGATTTGCTGCTCAAGAAACATTCTGATTATTATCAATGTTAAAAACAGTTAAAACAAAATAAACATAAATACTTTTATTCAGCAAGGACGCATTAAATTGATCAAATGTGAAAGTAAATACATCTATAATGTTACAAAAGATTTCTATTTCAAATAAATTTCTATTCATCTGCGAATCCTGAAAAATAAAATGTATCACGGTTTCCACAAAAATATTTAGCAGCACAACTGTTTTCAACATTGATAATTATCAGAAATGTTTCTTGAGCAGCAAATCAGTATATTATACTGATTTCTGAAGATCATGTGACACTGAAGACTGGAGTAATGATGCTGAAAATACAGCTGCGCATCACAGAAATAAATTTAATTTTACAATATATTTACATAGAAAACAGCTATTTTAAATAGTAATAATATTTCACATTTTTACTGTATTTTTGATCAAATAAATGCAGCCCTGGTGAGCAGAAGAGACTTCTTTCAGAGACATAAAAAATCTTTCCAAACTTTTTAGTGGTGATGCATGTATAATATATTTGTGTTTATCCTGTAAAAAAGCAAAGTTTAAAGATTTTGTAAATAATAATAATAATAATAATAATAATAATAACAAACATTATGACATAAAGTGTATAAGAAATATCTTAAAAACTAGTTCTAGGTGATCCAAATGTGCTTAAATGACTATCATTGATCAGGTCAGATGCTCTTGCTATATATATATAAGCCAAACACTAAGACATTAGTATTTTTCCTTTATTAATATAGCTTATATTAGCCTATATATTATGTTTAATTTAAATATACTTTAATTACATTTAATTTGAACTCAAATGAATGACAACGTACTCTTTATGCAAACAAACAAAACACGTAAAAACTGAAAAACTGGGAAATCAATGTGCTACTCTGTAATATGATTTGCGGAAAAGCAGCTGTGCGCTTGACTGCATAACACAGACGGAAATACATGCATGCATACTGTACATAACACGCAATGCCATTTACAGACATCGCACTGTACTTATGCACGACGTCATTATTATGTATTTCATGTTGATGTTTGTCGATGATTACGCTCCTGTACCCCGCAGCAGCTCGCTGAACTCGTCCTCGCTGATGTCCGGCGGAAAGTCTCGCACCGTCACGCCTCCAAACCGATCCACATCCCCGGCCAGCGGAGGCCAGCGGAGCCGCTCCTGACAGCCGGAGCCGAAGCGAGCCGAGCCGGCAGAAACAGCCGAGGAGACCCGGCGGAGCACAGAAGAGACCCGGCAAAACCCGGCGGACATGATCCAGCTCATCATGACTCAAAACAACCAGCAGACGCGTAATTACTCCAGTACTGGCGCATATTAAATTGCATAACCGCTTTAACGCTGAGGTTTTTAATCTTTAACACACGGGCCCCAAATATGATCATCCTCGTACAGAGACCCCATCCTAAAATTAACAATACATTTATTCTTGTATAAGACCCAATTCATACCGTGAAAAACCAATGTAATAAATAATAATTAATAAATATAAAAAGTTTATTTGGAAAATATTGTTACATTATTATTTTTTTACATTTCCTTTGTTATTTAATCTAATTTTTATTATTTATTTATTTTAATCTAATTTTTATTTATTTTTATTTACTAATGTATTTAGTAATTAATTAATTAGTATTTTATTTTTACTTTAATCTCATTTTTATTTACTTATTTACTTATTTTTAGTCACGCATTTATTTACTTATTTATTTTAATCTGTTAGTTCGTTGGTTTAGTATGTTGATTTATGTAGTTATTGTTTATTTGAATCTATTTATTTATTTTCATGTTTATTTATTAATTAATGTATTATTTATTTGCTTGTTTTAATCTATGTTTTTTTATTTCATCTAATTTTTGATTATTTATTTATTTAAATTTATTATCCTTTTATTTACTCATTTATTTCATTTTGATCTAATTTTATTTGTTATTATTTAATTACTCGTTTACTATTTATTTTAATCTATTTGTTTGTTTGTTTTAATCTCTTTATTTATTTTCTTTAATCTATTGTTTACATTTATTTATTTTAATCTCATTTTTATCTATTATTTATTTATTTTACTGTCATTTATTTATTTGTTTTAATCTATTTTTATGTTTTGTATTAATCTAATTAATTCATTCATTTTAATCTTTAAAACATTTTGGGTTTAAGCACTTTAGTGGTACCATGGTTCAATATTATGATATCCGATTGCAATACCATGGTACTTGAATAGATATATAATATCAATATAAGTAAACGCACAAGGGTTCGTGTCGATAAAGGTTGTATTGTGTAACAGTGATGTTTTAAGGCCTTTATATTGTGTGTTTTACGGTATCTGAGGGGCGGAGCTGAACTTTCACATCGGGAAGTTTACATTCAAA